ACGGGTTCAGGTTTTTAAAAGCGCAGGGCTATGAACTGCACCGAATGGTCTTCAAACACGTCTATTTCAGTTCAAAACCTCATACAAATATGAAATACACTTTACAACATTTGACAAACTCAACAGGCACTTAGACCATCATGGTATATGTGGAGCTGGTAGACCCTGAGAGACATTGCACTCCACTTATATCGGAAGTCGCATCTTAAGAAAGTCTTTTGGAAGGATATCATACAGCTGCTTATCCATTATAACGCTGCGTACAAACCAAACCTTGAGAGTTAGGAAGAGTAACTATGTAGATCTCTTAGTACACAAAGCTCAAAACATGTGTTTTACCATTGGATAATTGCGGTCTGTGGTTTATTGGATGTCTTTTTAATGCAGAAAATGCCGGCATGGTTACACGGGAAGGAATATAACGACAGTATCGTATTGCAAGGACATCCATGTGCTGTGACGCTTTCAGACGTCGCTTACCTTAGAAGACAGAAAATGCAGCCCATGAGATCCCCTCCGAAAGGCGAGATATTCCATTTAGATTAAATTTATTTTTTGCATCAGCCGGATTTTGCTAGCTACTGTTACTCGCTACTTGTTGGGGTGCTGCAGACAAAATTAATAACACATGTAAGAAAACGAAAGACAATGGGTCCACAATACTGACTTTTGTGGATGACGCCTACTACAAGTGAAAGAATTAACAAAAAATGTGTATCTACGATCTTACATTACAAAGTTATTAAATTATCCAGGTAGTCTCACAAAGTTGTGAGAAGGATAATAACGACTCATGTAATTATATTTACTGTACATATTTTTAACACCAGTGACTGCACCCTTTGTGAAAGCGACGACGAAATATCTCATCTCAACGACAATACCTGTTTTGGTATTGTCCTGCCGTGCAAGTCTTTTTCAGACAAAAATAAAGACATTAACTCAGTATCAAGTAGTTTTCCGGTTAGATGTACAGTCACAGGTTACTACAGGACACAAAGCCGATTCAGGTCTTGCTCAGTGCCACAGAATAAGCGGTGATTTACAAAGCTCGCAATAAAGGTAAAACACCTGGAGTTCCTCAAGTGATTGATATATTGAGAACATAAATACGAACACGCGATTCACCCACCGATTACAATTTTTTACATTGAAAGCAGTGAGAGATATTCTGATGTGGACATAATGCAACTCTAGGCGGCGTCTCGAGTGTGCATTAACGGGTCTCTGTTTGACGTCACAAAACATTTGACAGCGTCTCGAATCGGTGGCAAACTCCTGGTCATGTTCCGTTGATCTCAAATATGTTACCGTGAATTTTTCAAATGCGTGCAAGATAGGGCACTCTCAACACGCCCTCGGGTGTAGGTCAAATTTACCCTACACCGAACGTTTTTCCAGAATGGTTTGCGAATGGCTGTAGACAATGGAAGAACAGATCGTTTGGTACTAAAAATTTAGATGTACCTTGTAAGGCCGCTGACCAACGGCAGGTCCAAGTCAGCCCATGGATATTGCGAAGGGAATTTCTAGGGAATCTTTCAATCTGACGCAACAACGGAGAGTTATAGACGAAGCCATACACCCCCGCAACGCTTTCTTAGGCAACACAATGATTGAATGAACAATTTCCGTTGACATCAGGTCAGTTTTAAAAGTAGGGCTTGCTGTATTGGGTAGTTTCTAGTGCTCATTTCAAAGTTGTTGATAACAGATAATGAATAACCACATATACATTTTCCATGGACTTGCCAAAGGTCAGGATAGGACAATGACCTAAGATGACCCAGGTCAACATCTCGTTTTTGGGAACATACTGCCTAGCGCTATTTTTGTCGCTTCTTCAAACGCAATACTCAAAGCAGTCTTGTATAATTTTGATCGTCATGACCTTCGAAAGGTCAAAAAGGGTCACTGACCTTAAATGAACATGGGACCTTTTGCTTAAAACAGACATCTAGGTTCTGGGACATTTTAGAGACCAGTCTTGAAATTGGCCTTATTTAACCCTATTTGACTCGAAAGTCATGATCTAGGAACTCCAAACATCGACCAAGGTGAGTCCAGGTACAGGCCAAAAGGCCCTGTAAATCTAGTGTCTCTATCTCTCTTATTTCGTGAGATCTTCGTGGGGGCAAATAGACCCCCACCCGAGCGAAGGGTATCCAACCGGCGGCCCGGGCGCGTGTTAATACGAAGGCGCCTGTAAAGAAGCAAAATATCATTTCACATCATCAATGTAGCTGTGACAATAAATAAGGTAAACAGCGTGTGCGAGCATTTACTTATAAAAACACTGCTACTCATCAGGGATGTGCAGATAACCAATGTGAGAGTGCCGATAGTGTAGTGGCTAGGTGGTGGCACGGCGGGAATACCCGGCCGCCACCGGGCCGAACCCCGCGAGGTACCGCTCGCATGTGAGTGCTGAGGGCACACAGGCTGACTTGCCGGTCCGGCCCCGGCCGGTTTGGACCTGACCCTGAGACCGGCGACCGGCGCCCGCTGCCAGGCGGGGCCGGTCCCTCCAAAAGGCCGGCGCACTGATAATTTCAACTAAGTGGTGGTGACTAAGTTTTTTACAGGCGCCTTCGTATTTAGAGTGCGTTATCTTGCACATATTTGAAAATTAGATGGAACATATTTGTGACCGCCGGAGCATAAACATGAATTTGCCGCCGATTCGAGAGGCTGTCGAATGTATTATGACGTCAGACAGAAACCTGACACTGCACACTCGAGACGCCGCCTAGAGTTGCATTATGTCTACATCAGAATCTCTCTCACTGTTTTTCATGTCAAGACCGTCGCGAAGACCGGCCACCCGACCTGCCCCTGGCCCCAGGTGGGCTCACCGGTCATTAGAAGCACGCCGCCCAGGCGTCGGAGCGGGCTCAGATCTCGCTGTTTCGGTCTCTCCTGCTCGCTCCTCATGACTGGGAACCGCGCCGCGCTGCATTTAAGTGCTTGTCGACGAGGTCCATGGTTCGGACCCTGCTGGGGAGGGGACACTGTGTATTGGAAGCCCGCGAGAGCCCTGTTCGTGGCATGGTGATTCGTGAGCAGTTGTCTTGGTTTTCGACGCACAGGCTCCCCGACCATTGAATTGGAATCCCCCCCCCCCCCACCCCTGTTGTACTGCTGCTGAATCGCCCCTCCCCCCCCTCACCCTCTGTGCCACAGAAGACAACCCGCACGCTCAAAGTGCTGCCGCGAAGCCACCGGGCGCGAGTCCGCGGGAGCCAGTGCCCTGACTCACGAGGGGCTGGCCTAGCACTTCCTCGGTGCGAGCTAGGGCAGCTGGAACATCAGCTCCACAGTTGCAGCAGCAGGCGGACACCACACCCGACGGCTTCCCTCGGCGCCTGTCGCTCAACTTGCTTGGCTCCTGGCCAGTGCTGTACGAAGGCGGCGCCTGACAAGCCGGCTACCCGCGTGGGGGGTCGACAAGAGGCACCCACATGTTGGCAAATCCGGTCCGAGATTGTTGGTTGCTGTAGGTGGTAGCCGAGACTGACCCGTAAGGCGGCCACCTCAGCACTCAGGAGCCCTTTATCGCTCCTGTGGAGCCCAACGGAGCCCGGCAACCCTAATGAAACTAAAAGCTTGGGCCGAAGGGTCGCTGATCGCTACTCTGATCGAAGTCAGAGCCCTTGCGGGGGGGGGGGGGGGGGTACGTTTAGCCTGCATGCTCCCCTCTGGACGGAAGGGGCGCTTTGCAAGCCTCTCCATCCCCCGGCGGGACCATTGGAGCACTCGATACCTCGCCCCACGCCCCACCCACCCACCACGGAAAAGTACCGCCTCACCCAGTCTTCGACCACTGCGGTTTACACGGGCCTCATTTGGACACCTCGGCTGGCAGGTGACCGCGTTAGTGATCCATGTCGTGCACCGACCAATCATTATCGACTACCCCGTGACATACGTTTCGCGGCAGAAGCAACCTTCACTGACCCTCGGAACTGTTTTCATTTCACGCAAAACTCTCACGAAAGGTTATTGGAGGTCAGCATACAGATTTCATGTACCATGAATATATAAGAAGGATTCTTGGTGCTTAAAATGCTTGTACAACACATCGTTGCGCCAAATTTATATATGACGTGCTGGCTGGGAACGGATCAGTCAGCGGCGGCAGTTGATGGCGGTTCTCGCTACGTTGAGTGCCAGTAATCCTACAAGTTTGACGGGCATGGTTTGGGTGCTGATCTTTCGGAGATAATTTATGTTTGTTAGATACACTATCGCGTACTAATGAGAAGCTTATGCAGCCGTAATCCAGGGCCCAGTCCCAATCCCAGGGATTGAGATTCGGGGAAGATGGTGAGCCGACGTCAGCCGTGCCTGCGGGATGACGCATGAAAAGCATTGATCTCCTTGTGACTCATCACACCAGGGATTCTAGCCCCGCTGGAAATCTGGAAGATTTCATCCGGTATTCATGAAGACAGAGGAAACATTCCTTAAATCTGCTCTTTATTACAACGCACTAGTTGTGGTATTTGATATGCCTGTATCACGCGGGCGCACACTGGTGTGTGCCCATTGTGCACCACAGTAAGAGCTGGAAGTGCGACCTCCCATAGTGACCGTATTAGAAGAAATAGGCTCAAGCGACGGTGTCCGTGGCGCCGAGCACACTCGAGTCGTGGCGACCTTGGCCCGGTGACAGTGGCGACGGCGCGGCGGAGGACCTGCCGGCTGCAGGAGCCCCCGACGGCACCCGGCATGTCGCTCTTCCAATTAGGGCGCCAGTTAAAGACCGCTGGGTCCACCTCGCCGCGTACGTGCAACGGTACACCCTCTGACAGGGCGACGCCGGCTCGGCGCAGCCTCTGGACGCGGCCGGCCGGCCGGCGCGCCGTGAGAGCTCGCGGAGCGGCGCGACGCCCGCCGCAGAGCGCGAGGCGGTGACGCGGGCTGGCGGCCGCCGGGCGGAGCGCGGCGCGCGGGCACGGCGCGGGCACGGCCGACAGACGTAGCGGCGATGTCGGCGCCGGTGGATGGGGCCGGGCGGCGCGGCTCCGACCAGCTGCAGCCGCACGCGGTGGAAGTGTACGTGACGGATGAGGGCAGCGGCGACGGCCGCCGCGGCCACCCGCGGCCCGGCGGCAAGCGCAACCCCTGGTGGACCGTGCTGAGCCTGGGCAGTGTGTCAGGTGAGTTGGTCGGCGGGGACGTCCGCCCCCATCTGAGCCCCACCGCAGCCCGCCCATTAGACCCCGGTGGACCGTGCCGAACCTGGGCAGTGTGTCAGGTGAGTTGGTCGGCGGTGACGTCCGCCCCACCCGAGGCCCACCGCAGCTCGACCGCACGAGCTGACTGCTGCGGTGACGTGACTCCCACGGCCGTTCTGCCGATGGTCTACGCGGTGCGTGGTTGGCCTTTCCCGAGCAAGGGACCACCGGACACTGAGGTTTCGGTGACACTTACAAATGGTGCTATGATGTCTCGTCCCCCGCCCCCGCTGCTTGGAGCTTTCTCAGACCATAGATCGTATTTTCTTTCTTGGTGTCGACACGCGCATAACGCATAACGTATGCGGCTACTCTCGCGACTGGCGTCTCAGCCCGCAAGGAAGACAAATGAATGATGCGGTTTAGGAAACGCATTAGACTGACTAGGCCCGTGCGCCCTGTAATCACCACAGTCGCCGCGTTGCTCACTGGTGTTATCGCTCGACTCCTCGATCACGTTTCTTGCATTCTCGTCGCCTGTTCCGCACATGTTTTGCTTGTTTCGTGTCTGAAATGTCGTAGCTACGCCACCTTCTCAAACTGGATGGGCCAAACAAGCTGCTGGCGTAAATTAGCAGGCCATTGAGAATTCGAAGGAACAAATGAGTCGGGCAATACACAACTCAACCGTGGATGAAATGCGATCTGTTTGACCTTTTAGGTGGCAGGACGCTGTTCACTCACCACAGGTTCTCGCCTCCGAAAGGTCGTTCATCACGAGCGTTCATGCCGTGCATTCACATGTTCGGAGAATAACTGAAGTCGTGTGTACAACTAAAGCGCTTGTTCGTTAACACCAACATGATTTAATCAGTCATCGTTTCGTAATGCTAGAGCGCAGGAGCGAGCGGCTTTGGATGAGACTGTCACATCTAAGAATGAGCCCCTTTAAATTTTTTCCTTTCCCGCTGTGAGTTTTCTTTGCTTAATGCATGAAAGTGTTCGCAAGAAGCTCTTTTTTTCTCGAGTTATGTAGATATGTGCAGTGTTTATGAGCTTGGCTGAGATGTTTTCGTCCGTTGTTGCCATTAATAGGCATGAGCTCTAAGCATTTATTTCATGCTTTTAGCAGGCCAAATAATAAAAATTTGAGCAAGAATGACACTGGATTGCACTCTTTCAGGCATGGCAACGGGGCAAAATAGTTATTGATGACGCATAAGCCATACTTGATATGGGTGCTATGCGTCACCATAACAATTCAAAGTAGACGTAAATTTGCTGCCGTTAATTTATTGACTCCTTAATCGTGCGTCACTGCTCATCTTTGGTTATTCGATTTTCCGAGCTGAGCCGACTCGAAAATTTTGACCAGTAATTTAACACAGAAGTCAACTGCTCCCTGACCACTTTACTACAGGCTTCTCTCCCAGCACCACAATAAGCGGGTTGAGACGCCTCCACAACTTCTAGGGACCTCAGTCGCGCTGCTGCGCAGTCGCCTGCCGCTGGCGCGCCCCACCGACCCGAAGGTCGCAGGCAGCGGATATCCGCCGGTTGGTGGGGGGGGGGGGGGGGGGCGTCGCTTCTGATAACGAAGCCTGTCCCGCTGTTGAGGCACGCGCCTCAACCCGTCTCAGCTCGAGGCTAGCGGCTGGCCCTGTGACCCTCCAAACCAGACGTCCCGTCCCCGCTCCAGGTTGGCGGCTGACCCTGCGACCCTCCAAGCCAGGCGTCCCATCCCCGCTCGGGGCTGGCGGCCTTCCCTGTGATCCTCCAAGCCAGGCGTCCCGTCCCTGCTGCACGTTGGCGGCTGGCCCTGCGATCCTCCAAGCCAGGCGTCCCATCCCCGCTCGGGGCTGGCGGCCTACCCTGTGACCCTCCAAACCAGGCGATCCGTCCCAGCTCGGGGCTAGCGGCTGGCTCTCTGACCCTCCAAACCAGGCGTCCCGTCACCGCTGCACGTTAGCGGCTGGCCCTGCGACCCTCCAAACTGGGGGTCCCGTCCCCGCTCCACGTTAGCGGCTGGCCCTGCGACCCTCCAAACTGGGGGTCCCGTCGCTGCTGCACGTTGGCGGCTGGCCTCATAGGGGAACCGTTATTAGCATGGCTGATTCATATCGCCATGAATAAGGCCTGCATTTGATAACGCTGATTTACCGTTGCAATAAATTGCGCGCAGTGTAGTCTTTGTAAAATATGGTGTATTTCTTCGCGAAATTTTATTTGCTCCCTCCCACTTGTTTCCCTTCCTTTGTTTTTAACAACGTATTTCGAGAGGTACGTTCTGTGTATTCTATGCGTTAAGCTATACATTGTTCCATACATTGCTTCCATATAATTCTCAGGGGGTTCCGATTGATTTTTTTACTGTGCTCTATGGATTGACATTCCCTGACTTTCCGAGAGCACGGAGATGCTTCTGCTTGCGTCTCATAAATTCATCGCGATTCCTTTGCGAAAGCTCCCATGCTTTAATCTCTAATCGTTTGTAACTTGCGCGCGCAGTTCAGAGACTGCAATAAGCCATGTGATTATTTTGATTATAAGTTGCAAAAACGACCTACTTATAAAGCTCTAATTTCATTTGATCTCTCTCAAGCATTCCTCATAAACCGCGGTTTTGGTTGTCGACTTTGTTCATATCTCGGAGCCGGGATGGTGTCAAACTGAGCGCCCTGTCCGTCGTTAAACAAATGACACGAAGTCTGACCGGCTGCCTCCCAGCGGGATGGCACGCCGCCGGCGGGCCTGGCGCCACAGGGATCGGGCGACGAGGTGGTGACGCGGCGCACGTGTCTCAACGCAGCACTGGGTCAGCGCCGAGTCCGCACTGCACCGAGGCCACTGGAAGAGTTACGTCACCGAGCCCAGACGCGGGACTGCCGACGGCTTTGTGCCGGGCTCGGGTCGTGGCGGTCCCCCGCTGGGCTGGAGGTCACGTCACCCCCATAAACTACCAATCAGATCCACTCGAACCTTCTACATACACGACGTGCAATTATGTCGCAACACGTGCCATTTCGGGATAATTTAGGACTAATTTCACGTAACGGCGGCGTAATCGTTGCAGATGCTATCGACGGTCAGACAGCTGGACATTGTCGCGTGACACATTGCCCTGGCCCGGTCCGTGGCCTTGCCGGATGACCGGACACTTGATGACGTGCAGGTGATCTGCTCAGGTCACCTACGTCACGCCATTACGAGTCCGCCCGCCCCCAGCCTGCCGTGCTGGAGGTCTGCGGCGTCGAGTGTCGACACCAGGTCAAGCCGCCCCACCTGGCTGCAGCCTCGTGTGCTCCTCCAATGCGCGGCGGGGGGCGCATCTCGCTCTGCCGGCACCAGTAGCGCCGCAGCCCTTGTCTCGTGTCGCGCTGGACGGAAGAACGAAGTCATATCCGCTCGTATGCCACATGTTTTAACGCCTTGCGATGAAATCTGGGTGGGCCACGTGATTTTCTGCGTGTTCATGAAGTGACAGGTGCTTATTTGTCCGGGGCAACGTCAAACGTTTGGAAAACAATTTTTCTCGGGTGAGATATTGGAGATGAATCGGGCGAAGGTAACGTCGGGAAATCTGGACATTAATCCAGACCATTTATTCACATTTGAATTGGACTTGGTCAACTTTTGCGGATTTTCGTGTAATGTGAATGTGGTCCTGCAATGTGCCTATTTTGTATTTTGTGCCTTGATATTTACCGCAGGGATAATAGTATACTGATGCACCTGGATGTGGTGTGGTTATGTTTTGATGCTTGCTTTTTACCAATGTACACGTTTAGGTCCCACCACAGAATGGTTTTTACATAACCTGTTACTAAAAGTTTGGAGACACGCATTTAATGTTCACTGACGAAGATTCCGGTGGCGACTTGATCAACGTCGCGTGGGTTGGCCGGCGCGCGCCCTGCAGCGGCGGAGCGTGTGACGCTGCATTAGGAGGTCACGCTCCAGCTGGGGTTAGCTGGCTGTGTGGCCGCGCAACAGTTCGTGGCGCAACAATGAGTAATTTTGTGCGTGGCGCGTAATTACTTCGGGCACAAAACATGGTGCGGAAGTAGTTACATGACATTTATTTGTACGCAAATCTTGGTAGGAGCCTAAGTCTTCGTCTAGCAAAGGCTCCTCGTAAATCTTCTAGCGCAAATACTCGTATCCGCAATATTTCGTGTACACAATTATTACAGGTACTCGTACACGCAGTTACTTGTCTGACATGTTTGCATACGAATTTCTTTGCTGCATTTTTTGTATCGCATTTTGTTGTGCATGCATGATTTGGCACCGCGTTTGGTCGCATAGGAGATTCTTCGCATTGCTTTTTTCCATACGCGATTCCTCGCGTTACGCCTTTTCGTACCTGGGATTATTCGTGTCGCATTTATTCGTATACCCGATTTTTGTCGCATCGCTTATCTTCATACACGCTGTTCTCCGCATCACATCTCATCGTATTGCATTCCTTTGTCAACAACTCTCTGATTCGTGTGCGTTGGCGGGTGTAATCCTTCGCGAGAACTATCTGACATTATCAGTGTAAACGTTGGCATTTCTTTATTCTCTCCGTTGTTTGGCTCTTCATTCCTCATAATGCTGCTCTCCAGTTGTCTCTGAGCTATAAAACGTGCATGTAGAAGGGTCCCATCACCGACCGTGTATGCGATGATGCTCAGTCTTAGTACAGGACCTTCTAGCTCCATACGATGGAAACGCATGAGGCTGGTGTTTGGCGCGGCTCTGTGCTGATTCCCATGCCTCTATCCCTTAGCGCCGGTGGTAAACATGAGATAATGGTTTCCAATCCTGTAAGACAGTCCAAAAATGACGTTAGCTATTCTGCATAGGTCAAGGCAGGTGCCTCGGGACCATAGACATGTTATCTTTAATCTAGATACTATTTCAAAATACTGTTGGTGGTGATCTACCAACGCCGATGTTTTACCTTGGGTCTGTAGGAGAGATATGCATGAATTCCA